AAGAAGAAAACCCTAGATAGGGTGCGCAGAGAATGAACCCTAGGCAAGCAGAAATCTAGGCAGATTTAACCTAGCTCTGATACCATGTTATAATTCAGGTCTGCCTTAGAGTTCAGCCTAACTGAGTTCAGTTATGTAGAAGAAGAAAAAGTGATAAAGAAAGAGAGAAAGAGAGAAAGAGAGCAGAGAGAATTCTAGTTCGAACTGAAAGAGTCAACATAACTTCTCCCAGTTGGCCAGTAAGTATTTATATTATTATTAAAACATAACTGAAAAGACCTATGTGCCCTTACTTAAGTTAAGAGCACATGTTTCAACACAACATTACWGATCAGCAACATCAATCAAGGTATAAAGACAGAAATACCCCTACGCTAACAAACAGAAAAGGTGTTAATTCATAGTTTTGATCCAATACACCACTTTCACTTAGGTGCAATCATTAATCATCATTCTTTTGATGTTAATGAAAAGAGGACAAAGAGAAGCAGCAAAACATAAACACCTACTACCCCTGCTTATACAATATTAACATATGCAACTGCTTGCAGATATATTATTTTGCTCTTTCTGATTATTGTGGATATTTATCACTCTTAAATAGGGGTGCAAGTCAAGAGTTTACACAGCATCAGGCTTGGGTCCACTCAATTTTTATCAAATTTTCAACCCAATCTCTCACCCAAGTTATAGCCCTACCTCTAAATGTTACTAATAAAATGGTCTTTAACATTTTCTTTATAAAATTAATTATAGCCTAAGCAGTTTTTTAAAAGTGATAGGTGCAAAGGTCCTTCAATTGCCAGAGGCACAAGGTTCAAGGTAAGGCACATCCCTTGATGAAGCAAGGCAGAAGTTTGAAAAAATTTAAAAGCCATTAATACATAATAATATGCAAATTTGAAATTTAAAAGAATTAAATGCTTTAGAAAGCTGAGAGGGAGGCATTTGCGACAAGTGTATGTAGAAACATAACCTCTGAAGAGGCATTTGCCTTGGTTGTCTGATGCCTTTGCAAAGCGCCATCACCTGGGCATATGCAAGTCACTATACTTGAGATGTACCTCAATTGTGCACCTAGACATGCCTTGGTGCACAGTTGAGGCATTTGCCCTGGTTGTCTGATGGCAAAACAACATGCTTGCTAGAATATAATGGTGGGCTTAGAGCCATAGACGTATATGCTTGAAGGATTTCGGATTTGGTAGTTAAGGTGTGGTTGATATGGTGGTTTCTTTTTGAAATATAAGAAAGTCTAGGTTATCTTTTTTTCCCCTTTTTTGTGTGTATGTTATAGGTCTTTATTAATATAAAGGAATGCTCCGTTGTTTTTTTAACATCTATCCTCTTCCAGCTTATGTCAACTCTCCATCTCCCTTAAGAGACCTATTTTCCCCCCAAATCTGTAACAATTCATTATTTCATTCCTTGATTTGTATTTAAGGTACAGTATATTTCTTCATGAACCTAAAGCCGTTCAGTGGAAGCCCAACATTTCTTGAATGTTTTTCAATTTATGCTACAAGTTTACCATCTTTGTTTAACAATCCTCTGTTTTGTATAACCAATTTTGCTTTAGACATTGAATGGCTGACAGTGTACAGATCTTATTTTCTTTCATGCATCCTCCTTTGCAAAGACATTTTTGTTTTTTCATTGGGGCATTTTTTTAACAATCCTCTGTTTTGTATGACCAATTTTGCTTTTTATCAGAACAATTTAGAGTTGACCATAAACACTTGCAACTGGTTTGATGTCATGCTAGTTTATTAATTATTGTCCCATCTTTTCTGCTTACCAAAAAACAAGTCCCATCATTTCCATATAATGCACACTTTGGTAAACTCAAATTTTATACCACCTGTATACAATCTGAGCAATACTCTTAGTTATTTCTGACATGTGAGTTGTCCATCTCTTACCAGGATGGGATTTGAAAATTGCTCGGATGCGTCGCCTGCAATTGGCATTGGACTACTTGAAATCTGACGAGATAGAACAGTAAGAGCTTCTGTTATTTGTTTACCTCTGTTATTAGGTATTTAGGTTATATGTGATGCACTAAGTTTTCTCTGAACATATAAAAGAAATTTTTTAAGCATATCAGAAATGTTCATGTATTTGAGAAAACATGTTCTCCATGTTGGAAAAAACAACAGAAAGAAAATTGTACATTTGCAACCTTTTTCAAGCAGCAAGTACCAATTGATACTCAAAGTCTGAGATCAAGAGAAGGAAAAAACCATCTTAACCTGAAAGCTGGTTCACTTGTACTTTTTTTCTTAATATTGAATGAATCTGTTCCTGTCATTGATCAAAAAAAAAAAAAAAAAAAAACAGCTGAAGGCAGCAAACCATACCATCTGATCCACCAAAAAAAAGCCACCAAATCCATGACTCCAAGCCGCTCTCCCTTCTCATTACGTCAATGGGATATTTACTAGAATCAACATTTTGTCCCTGATAGAAGCCCAAATGACATAGAAATAAATTACAATGAATGGTTTCATCATTGAAGGAGACTCTTAAATCCTGATACAGTGGTTTTCTTCAATGAGCTGGAGGCTTTCTAATAGGATTGGGCTTCCTTGACACTTTTTTTTGGCTTACCAATGACTCGTAACTTTTTTTACCATTATGACTTATAACATTATTGTTTTGCTACTTTGATCATGCTAATATAAATAGAAGATCTAGAATTTGAACTTGATAACCTATCTGTTTTGCAACTTGCATAACTTATTGTTTAGCACTTGAGCTTACTGATATCTTTGCCTTGTCCTCTAAACACATATTCTTTATGGATGGAACAGATCTTTAGAAATGCTTGTGGATGTCAATCTTGCAGAAGAGGGCATCTTGAGATTGCTCTTTACTGCTGTTTTCCAGATCTTTTCGAAAGTTGGTAGTGATAGTGAGATTGCACTTCCGTTGAGGTAAGTTCTCATAATCCCTTGTTTAAAGGTCTAATTATTCTTAAATCCTTGTGGTTGTGTAAAGGGTGTCTTACTCGAAAGGGAAGTTATCAATACTCTTTACCCATATATGGGTGAGATTATGGTTATTGCTGCCTATCATGTGAATAATCTTTCCTTAATACTGACTCTAACTAATGGGTATTCAATAGAGTTGTATCCAAAAGAATGAGATAAGTGGAGATTTCTCAGCAGAACTTCATTCTTCATATGTTGAATGGTGTTGAAAAATACCGTTTTTTCAGTTCCATAATTTTAATGTGTGGATTGTATTTACAGGCTTCTAGCATTGGCCACCTGCTTTGCAACCAAAATGGTCCGGAAATATGGGTTACTGCATCATAAGAAAGATCAGTTTTTGTTTCAGTATATGCTGGGCTCCAGGAGTCATTCTCTCCAGTCAAATTTACTAGACAGAAATTTTACTGAAATAGGTGATTTAAGAAGGCTTGGTGAGATGGCTCATTTTCTGGAGGTTATCCGAAATATTCAGTCTCGACTTGGTGTAAAATTCAGGAAGTCAGGTCGAGGGCTGGTATGTTTTGAATAGTTCTGCTGATTCATATGAAATAATATCTATTGGAATTTTCTCTGGTATGGAAGTTACTAACATTTAGTTGTACTTTCTATTTCAGGAAGATGATGAGAGTGTATTGAATCCAGTGGATACAAATTTATTGAAGGATGACTCTAACCTTCCAATGCTTACTTTAGATAGTGTTTCATCTGAAATACAGAACCAACACGAATTGCCCTTTCCTGCATCTGATTTGTCCTTTGAAAACAATGAAAAGCTTAGTTTGATGCCTATGGGAATCCTGGGTTCCTCACTCCACTCCAATTCAGGAAATTTTGATGAATTGTCTGTCATTGTGTCACAAGATGGGGTCCAGGGAAGAAAACTGATTCCTTTTGAAAATTCCAAGGATATGATTTCTCGTTGGGAAATAGCCAACTTGGACCTTAAAACAGTTGTCAAAGATGCTCTGCAATCTGGTCGTCTCCCCTTGGCAGTTCTTCAATTGCACATTCAAAGGTTAAGAGATTTATCCACAGATGAGGAGCCTCATGATACCTTCAATGAGATTCGTGATGTTGGAAGAGCTATCATTTATGACCTGTTTTTAAAGGTATCATATTTTTCATATTTTGGAGTTGAGTTTGGTCTTTTAGTTTTAAACTAATGGTATGTGATCAATAGGGTGAAACTGGGCTTGCCATATCAACATTACAAAGACTTGGTGAGGACATAGAAGGCAGCCTCAAGCAGTTGTTACTTGGTACCATTAGGAGATCTCTTCGAATGCAAGTTGCAGAGGAAATGAAAAGATATGGATACTTGGGACCATATGAATTGAAGACATTAGAGAGAATGTCTCTAATTGAGGTTCAATTGCATGATTTCCTGTTGCTTTTAAATAATTATTTGTATTTTGTATTTCTTAAAGTATATCTATTATTGTTTTAGGTTTCACTATATTAATGTCCTCGCTGAACTAATGTTTCTTTCTTTTGTTCTTTTTTTCTTTTCTTTCTTTTTTTTTTGTGTGTGTGGAAAAGAGGCTGTATCCAAGCAGTAGTTTTTGGAGAACCTTTCATGGTCGGCAGCGAGAAGGCAGTAAACTTTCATCTAGTTTAACTTCTTCAGATGGAATCAAGTTGCACCTTATATGCTCACATTCATCCAACAACATTAGCATCGAATGTGGTGAGATTGATGGAGTTGTAATAGGTCCTTGGGCAAGTAATAATGAAATGTCTACTTTTCCTGTGCCTGACGAAGACGATACTCACACTGGATACTGGGCAGCTGCTGCAGTCTGGTCTGATGCATGGGACCAAAGAACCATTGATCGTGTAAGTCTCTTCTCATCTATACCACTAAAGTTATAACACCAGTTAATTATGTATTCAACTCCTTGCCTAAGCCGAAAGTCTAAGTGCATGTATGGGTGTTCTTATCAGGCCTGGGCCCAGCCAAGCCCTCATTTAGGCTGGAAATTCCAGGTTGGGCAAGAAGTATGAAATTATTTATTTTTCTTTTAAGTTTTGCATAGCCATTACCTTGTCAGAACAGGATTCATGTAACTGACCCCATGTAGTTGGAACAAGGCTATGATGATGATGACATCCATGACTTGAACCCAAGATCTTAAACACAATGAGTTCTTCAGCCACTAAATTAATATAAATGTTATGTTGAAGGCTACAAGTTGTTTATAATATAATACATATTCTTGTTTATTAGAAGTTTCTAGTTACTGTTACTGAAAAAATAATAAGCATATATTTAAATCCATATAAATTTCACCTAATATATTATTTTCTGCACTACATAACTTGCTTCAATGGTATAGTTGAAGTACAAACCAAATGTTGTTCTCCATTTAATCTTGGTTTATCTCCTTGGTGAATGGACCATGATCATCTTTTCTTTAAAGATGGATAGAGGCTCCATTATCCCATCCGAGGTATGTTTCTATTTCATGGACTGCATACCTGGACAAATCCTAACAATTTACCCCTATTATCTAAAGGTATGTATTCATTTTGTGACTCCTCCCATGGATCAGTGGGCTCGTTCCTGCTATATTTTCTCTTATGATGGCATTTCATCAAGCTGTTTGGGTACCAGTGGGTAATCCTTAGTAGGAGTCAGATTTTTTTTTAAAGCGGGGATTAGTTAAATGCTTTTATGGGCAAAGTAGAATATCTCATTTATTTTCAGGCATCTATTTTAGAGGAGCTATGGACTTGAACTTAGCCACTTATGTAATGATTGACACAACATTGTTGAACCAGTTCTAATGCATAGTGTACATGATGCATATCTGACTTGGTGAAATGTCCCAACCATTTTTTTTTTATATAGGGATTTCTTTGAGTTCCTCCCATGCATATTATATTACTATTTGTACAATTTTTACCTAAAAAATTGATATACTGCATGCCAATGACAGCCGTAAGAACCATTCAACCATCTTTACTTCAATCATCATCATCATCTAAGCCTTGTCTCAACTATATGGGCCAGCTGTCTTTACTTCAACCAGATTGATTATTATTTGATCTTGGTTAGTTTTTTAGGACTGCTTTTTGGTGACAAATGCTGGTTTTTTTTTATTTATATTTATTTTTCTTAATGATTTGTTTCTGCAATGGAAGGTTTCAAAATGACAATTTCAATTCTTATATGTTGCGCAGATAGTTCTAGACCAGCCGTTTCTCATGGGTGTTCATATATTATGGGAATCACAATTGGAATATTATATATGCCACAATGATTGGGATGAGGTCTTCAAGCTTCTGAACATGATTCCTACAGCTTTATTGTCAGAGGGAAGTCTCCAAGTCAATTTGGATGGCTTTCATTCTGATGTAACCGTTGGATGCACTGGTGAACTTCCTGAGTATGAGAAGTATATCTGCTCTTCTGAAGAATTGGACACGGTTTGCCTTAGTGTGCCAAATGTTAAAATTTTCAGGTTTTCAGCTAGTAATATATGTTCCATTTGGTTAAGAATGCTTATTGAGCAGGAGCTGGCCAAGAAATTCATTTTCCTGAAGGAATACTGGGAAGGCACAGTAGAGATAGTACCACTTCTGGCTCGTGCAGGCTTCATTATCAATAGATCAAATTCTGCTATGAATGAACCTTTTGGGAGCTTATCAGAGCTTAGTTTGACTGATACCGGTGGAGAATTACATGGTGATACTTTCCAAGCCTTGCATAAACTTGTTATACATCATTGTGCACAGTATGATCTACCCAACCTTTTGGACCTTTACCTTGACCATCATAAATTGGCTCTGGATAAGGGTTCACTTACATCATTACTGGAAGCTGCCGTAAGTTTCTTTATCTGGTTAGTTTTAATGTTTTGAGTGGGCTCATCTGCCTAATAATTTTCATGTTAATCATAATTGTTCTGTTTCTTTCTTTATATCATTAACCAGATAAAGGAGATTGGTTAATTTAGAAGTTGAAACTACAATCTTCTAGTTCTACCTAATACAATGAAATTTATTGAAGATACATCAACCGTCCTAAACCATATGCTAAAACTACATTAATCTAGTAAAGAAACACCCGAATGTAAATGTGCCTTTCCCACCCCTCCTCTACCTAAGCTGCCTGCTATATGATTTTTCAAGCTCCACACCCTTCTGAATGAGATGTTAATCAATATGCCATAGTTGTAGCCTCTTTAACATAACTGTCTGAAGATCAAAGGGCCCTGCCATTCGTGAAACATTCAACTGTCTTCTCCTGTTTCTTTCTTCATTATTAAATTTCTATTTACAATATATTTAGGAGCCTCTGCTTGGTGCACTGTGAAAATCTCAGGATAACAAGTGGGGGAACATGGGTTTGAGTCTGAGAGCAGCCACTTTATGCGAAAGGTGCCAAAGGTTAGGTTTGTACCCAGTCCACTCCTCCCAACACTAGATAGTTTGGACCAACATCGAGTAATGACCCTTTTATTTTAAAAAATATTTCCATATTCCATAACATTGGTTTTATACCAGTAGCGGTAAGTTTCAATTGCAATCGAGTTGATTGCATAGACTCTAGTAGAATATGTATTGATATTTTCCTTGTTAACATTTTCTTATATGCCTTGTGTGGTTAGGTATCTCTCTTTCTCCCATCCCCTCCCCCTCTTTCTTATATGATATGCATGTATGATTTTCTTTACTTTCTTTATAGACAAGTAGTGTACACTTTGACTATGAAAAGAAAAAAAAAACAGTATCATATTTCTGTATCCTGTAACAGATCACTATTCAGACAGATTTTGTTGGCTGGATATTTTACTCAGAACTTTATCATTCCTAATTTCTTGATGATTGAAATTTTGTAGGGTATATCAGTATTTGACATTAGACATAGTAGATCATAGGTCAAAAAGAATCTTCATTTATTGCTCTGGTTTGGTCTTCAAGATTGTATCATCTGATTTATATTTAATAACCAGTCACATACAAATGTGTCATTTCTTTTGAATCTTTACAGGGAGATTGTCAATGGGCAAAGTGGTTGCTCCTGTCTAGGGTTAAGGGGTGTGAATATGAGGCATCATTCTCTAATGCTCGTTCAATTATATCAAGCAATGTAATTCCTGGTAGAAACCTCAGTATGTTGGAGGTTGATGAAATTATACGTACTGTTGACGATATGGCAGAAGGAGGTGGAGAAATGGCTGCTTTGGCAACCTTAATGTATGCATCTTCTCCGATCCAAAATTGTCTCAGCAGTGGAAGTGTTAATAGGAATTGTAACTCTTCAGCCCAGTGCACACTGGAGAATCTAAGACCAGCTCTCCAACGCTTTCCCACACTATGGCGCACTCTTGTTGCATCATGCTTTCACCAGGATGCAGATGGCAGTTCTATGGCTCATAATACAAAGAATGGTTAAACTTCTATCCTTAGACCTCGTCTTTTTAGCATTTTATGACATGCATAATTTTCCCAAAATATTCCAAGTTTCCATTGTCAAATTATATCCCCACCAATTTCTAACATTATCTTCCAATTTACAGTATTTGGCAACTCAACCTTGTCAGATTATTTGTATTGGCGTGAGAACATATTCTCTTCCACTGGACGTGATACCCCACTGGTACAAATGCTCCCCTGCTGGTTTTCAAAATCTATAAGGAGATTGATTCAGCTTTTTGTCCAGGTTGTTTCTGAGTTCATGGTTTATGGCTCTTTTTGGTATTTAATGTTCTTTTAATTGGTTGCATATTCAGAAAATTTGTAGAATTGAAACCAAGGAAAAGCTCAAGACAGTATTTTTAATCTCAAACCACTCCAATTTATGCCATTTCCTGTTACTGAGCAGACATTCTCATTTACCTGCACTTTTTTTTGATATGCAGGGCCCTCTTGGATGGCAATCTCTAGCAGGCATTCCTGCAGGAGAATCTTTTCTTCATAGAGAAATTGGCATTTTCATCAATGCACATGAAAGTGCTGGTCTTAGTGCCATTTCCTGGGAAGCATCTATCCAGAAAAATGTTGAAGAGGAACTGTATGCTTCCTCAGTGGAGGTGAATGTTTTTCCCTGATCTCTATACACAATAAACTTGCTTTTAGAATTTCTCTAGCTTGATATATAGATGAACAAACTTCTGTCTGTGCTTCTCTTGAACATTGCGGGAGCAAGAATTCAGCTTTTATGCTCCTACTAATGTTTATTAGTCTGTCTACTGTGTTATGTGCCTGGAATATTGATTAAACCTTGTTGAGTTAGTGGTTATGGAAGTTTGGATGGAAGAGTTTACATTATTAATTTTTTATTAGTAATAATTAGAAGGGTGTTGTGGGAAAAAGAAAAGGCAAATATTGATTTGTGTGCCGCTATGCCAGTATAGTGTTCAAACTAAAATCCAAAAACTATCATTTACAATTTTCCTGTATCTTTTAGTGTATTTGTCATTGCCTTTAAAAAAACTCTAGAATTACTCAACTTATTAAAAAACACCCTACAATTGCTTCTTTTCAAATGCTTCAGTGAAAGGAACCACATCCCCCAAATAGAAGCACCCACTTAGAGAAGTGGCTAATACTGAATCGCATTACAAGCTGAGGTGGGAAAAACCAAATGAATGTTGAACCATAGTTTTCAAGGCGTCTAGGCGATTCTGGGCGACAATTGGGCGCCTAGTCGCCTAGGCAATGGAAATTTTATAATATAAAAAGCTAACTTTTGGTTAGTTCCCTAGTTTTATATACCATTCAGCATGTATATTAATTGAAAAAAATAGCAATTCTCTTTAGTAAGAACATTAAATTTCCTCTAAAAATGTGGCAAATCATCAAATCTAAAAGATAAAAATCTTTTACATATATTAATTTCATTATTATTTTTTATTGGAAATGATAACTTCATTACTGTAAAATTAAGATACAATTGTCAACCCCTAAGATAGGAGTTGGGCCCGAGTAATTTGAAATACAGAACTGCCCAGAACAAACTTTCCCTCACTGTCCCTTGTTTGGCTGAGGTATCAGCCAGACCATTAGTTGATCTTCTTATCCACTTGAAACCTGCATCAAGCTCCCTTGTTATATTAAGAATTTCTCGTATGGGCTGTCGATACATCCATGCTCCCAACTTGCCTGATTGCAGCCAGTCCATTAACAATTTAGAATCTCCTTCTATCTCCACTTGGTGTAATCCCAATTGCTTGGCATATTTTACACCTTGAAGCAGAGTCATCACTTCTGCTCTCAGTGATCTCCCACCCCTGTTGGCCCAGAAAACATAGCAACAATTCTCCCATCTCCATCTCTGAATACTACCCTTATACCTGAAGGCCCTGGGTTACCTCTAGAGCTCCCATCAAAGTTCAACTTATTCTTTGTTGTGTTGGAGGGGACCACATTTCCTGCACAATAGGTTTTATAGATGTTGTAGCTGCCACCACTCCCCAATTCCTAAATATGTCCTCAGCTGAAAAATCTTTAAACAAATCTAGAGTTGTCAACCAATGAATAGTCATAATGGTTATTCTTTCTATAGTTGCCTCCTTGGATTTCTCCTCCTTCAAAGATCCTGATATTTCTTTCTTCCTAGACTGACCAGAGTATAGCTCTTGTGGCTCTCTCCACATAAATCTACCACGCCTCTTCGATTGCCTGAAAAAGCTTGGGTCAAAAAGGCTTGTCACATCCGGGGGAGGTGTCCACCTGCAAACAAAGAGAGAAGAGAACCAGGACCAAATAAAGTGCACAAAAGGACAAAATATTAATAGGTGCGTGATCGTCTCACCAGAACCCAAGCAAAGGCTACAAACATGGGGTGAAAGGCAGAAATTTGGCCTTTTTCTTTGCAACACATCCAAAGTATTGATTTTTTTGAAGAACCACCTCCCAACAAAAAGCCTGAATTTTTGGGGGTACAGGGCTACACCATACCTCCTTTGATGGAAAGTTCCTTGCAAGGTTATTTGATTGAATGAGGACATTAAAGAAAGAGGAACAAATGAAAACACTAGACGGGGAAGGTTTCCAAATTCTACTATCCACACAAGACTGATCTAGAAAGGTTGACCCTAAAAGGGAAACTAGTTCATCCACCATTGCCATTTGTCTCCTTAGACCTCTTCTTAATCCCAAGTCCCAGGAATTATCAATAAAAACCGAAGAGATCACTTTTCTTTTATTTTCTGACAGTGAATAAATAATAGGAAACCTATCCTTAAGGGGACTCTCTCCAACCCAAACATCTTCCCAGAACAACACTTCGTTTCCTGCACAGGGATCAAGTTTAAAGTAAGGAAGGATGGAAGGCAAAATACCATGAGTAGCTTTCCAGGGAGAACATCGAGAAGCCCTAGGATCAACTCCCGCATCCCAACCATTGTCTGCCAATCCATGTATGCTACCAATCACTCTGTGCCATAGTCTATCCTGTTCCAATGACCACTTCCATAACCATTCCCCAATAATATTGTGTTTCTCATCCTAACATTTCCTATCCCTATGCCTCGTCCATCTCTACTTCTAGAAACTACCTCCCACTTCACTAGGCGATCCTTCTCAGAGACTACTGGTTCCCAAAGGAAGTCCCTCATAATATTCTCTAACTTGTTTGCCCTTTGACTGGTATCCAAAAGGTAGATAGGAAATACACAAGTAAGCTAGCCAATGTTGACTTAATTTCATTATTTTCAAAAATAATACTACTACAATAAGTATTTAATAGAGCAATTTCATATCAATTAGCAACTAAAGAAGGTTATTAACTTTATATGATAAATATTCAAGATGGAAAGTAAAATAGAAAAAACAAGGATAGAGTTTCTGTTTTATTTAATTAGAGAGAGAAGGAATAGGAAAAAAAAACTTTATAATTCTATTATTTCTTTCCACTTTCTTTCTTTTTCTCTCCTCAAAACTGTTTGACCTTTTAAATTTCAGTAGTAAAACATTAAAACAAAGTATAATTGATAAATATAGCATATAATAAAATCTTTTAACACATACATTAATAAGATACAACAATATAAATGATATTATAAAAGGTGCCTGCCTTGTCATTTTTGTCGCCTAGGCGGGCGCTTAGTCACCTAGGCGGGCACCTAGTCACCTAGAAAGGCGCCTAGTTGCTAAAAGTTAAGGTGTTTGGGCAAGATGCCCAGCCAAGGGTGCCTAGTCGCCTAGGCGTTGAACAAGAATCCAAAGAATCTGAATGTGGTAAGGTGTAGGGAAACAAAAAGGATGTAATCTACTTGATGTCTTTGCATGTTCAACATCTATTCAGGATACAAAGACCTTAGCTTTTTTATAGAAAACATGTAAAGTATGGAATATCATTGAAAACTGAGAGAAAAACAAAATGCAGAATCCTTGGATACTAGAGGACAATACACTCAGAATTTACTAAAAAGAACATGATCCAAATTCGGTGTAGTAACACTTAGCTCCCTGGACTTTCATTTGCATCATATGGCTATGAGCTACCATGTACTTTCAGATTCAAACCATAATTTTCAAGGCAGCAAGTGAGGCTAGGCAATAGGGGGGCACCTTGTTGCCTAGGTTCCATAGCAAGAAACAACCGTCTTTCACTATTAATTGTCTACAATCTTTATAAAAAATGTATAAACTTGATTTAAACATAGAAAACCAACATATTCATGAAAAAACTGGAAGAAAGAAAAGAAATTTCAGAAAATAGAGGGACTGAGCCTTTTTTTTTGTCCTAGGAAAAGAAGAAAAGAAAAAAAAGATGAAAGGAAGAAGAGGAAAATAAATAGAGGTGTGTCTAGACAGCTTTGTTGAACTTGTATCCCATGACTTCTCAAATAGGATAGAAAGTCTCCATCAGTGTATTTTCCCCCTAAATCTGAGTGGAGGATACGTATATGAGACTGAAATTGAACTCGTATCATAGTATTAAAAATCTGAAATGCAGGATATACTTCTGATTTATGTCTCAGAAAGTAAATCCATGTGTACCTGGTGCAATCATCAATGAACAAGTCAAAGTACTTGTATCCAAGCCAAGAAATAATAGTTGAGGTCCAAACATCACTCTGTGTAATTTCAAATGATGAGGTGGCATGTTCAGATGTGTGAGGAAAGGGTAGAGTGTGCCTTTTACTCAAACAACAAGAAACACATGAGGTATCAAATGTATGTAAAGATGGAATTTTATTCTTAGTAGAACTAGAGTCAGACAAAAATTTTAAGTTTTCAAAATGTGGATATCCCAAACATTTATGCCATAATTGTTTTCCGAACAAAAGATCTAGAAGAGGATGAACTAAAATATGCCGATGATGTTGGTGCTTGAGAATTCTTGAACTCCAATGCAAATAAACAGCCTAGCCTACACCCCTTCCCTTTCACCTTCCAAGTGTACCAATCCTGAATCAGACAACCATCGTGAGAAAATGTTAGTGTGTATCTTTCATAAACAAGTTGGCCAATAGAAATCGGATTAGTAGTGAAGTTACGAACAAAAAAGGTTTTGGTAAGAGGAAAGGATGCAGTAGATGGCAGCTCAAGGGACAAGTCATTACTACCAATCATATTCAGTTCCGAAGTCGATGATCCAAACATGAGATTGAGAGGAACAATAACCAGAAAACTCACCAAACAGGCCGATAGTAGAAAAGGCAGAGGAAATAGCAGAGGATACAAATTGCCAAATTTTCTCTTCATCCATAGATGCAGGAGAATCACCCTTGATAGAAGAGATGTCAATGGTTTGTCCCTCAGTCACTTGATATGTACGTGGTTGGTTCTTCTTCTAAACATTGTTAGATGGCCTAATTAGACGGTCTGGAATGATGTGACCATGCTACTTACAATAAGTGCAAACATTCTTTTTCTTGCAGTGAGAAGCAATGTGACCAAATCCCTTTTTTTTATGAATGATAATAAATTTATTAATTCAGAAGCAGATTTAGAGTGAGTTCA